TTACCATGCTGCGAATGGATCTGGCCCTTCCTACATCCGGGACATGGTTAAACCGTACACCCCAGCGCGTGCACTACGCTCTGCATCAACCAAACGACTCGTTGCGCCCTCGCTGCGAGGGGGACCCAAGTTCCCATCGGCGAAAACACGTGGGTTTGCTGTCCTGGCTCCAAGATCGTGGAATGAGCTCCCCATTGACATCAGGACGGCAGATAGCTTGCACATCTTCCGGCGCAAACTGAAAACTCATCTCTTTCGACTCCACTTCGAGCGTTAGAACTATTAACGAAGCACTTTTATACTAATAAAGGACTGGCTTACCTAAAGCCAGTTGAGTAGCACTTGAAATGTTTGGCTCTATGAAACCTGATCTACTTATATGATTCTGTTTTCTTCAAGGTTGTGTCTTCCTGGTCGAATGTACTTATTGTAAGTCGCTTTGGATAAAAGCGTCAGCCAAATGCAATGTAATGTAATGTAATGTAACCCCCCAGTGTCAGTAGCCTCTGAATTTCTTTCCACCAGGGCGTGCAATGATTTTGCCTTTTTCACTGACAAAATTCAGAAAATCAGACAAGCAGTCAGTGCCACTGCATCAGGAACAGCAAATGTGCTGTCTCTGTGTCCACTTAACATCAATTCAAACACCATGACACAATTCCATCAGATTAATGATAAAAACCTAGAGGACATTATTCAACTTCTGAAATCCTCCTCCTGCTGCCTTGATATTATTCCAACAGGATTTTTTAAAGATGTTTGGCCTTGCATGGCCTCAGATCTACTTCATATAGTAAACAAATCTCTTCACTCAGGTATTTTTCCACAGGCCCTGAAAACTGCAGTCATTAAACCGCTCTTAAAAAAGAATAATCTAGATGCTTCAGTAATGAACAATTACAGGCCAATATCAAACCTCCCATTTCTAGGTAAAATCATTGAAAAAGTTGTTTTTCAACAGTTGAGTAATTTCTTGCATTTAAATAACTGTTTCGATGTGTTCCAGTCAGGCTTTCGTCCAAACCACAGCACTGAGACTGCTCTTGTAAAGGTCTTTAATGACATCCACTTAAACACAGACAGTGGCAGAACTTCAGTGTTAGTATTATTAGATCTCAGTGCTGCGTTTGACACTGTTGACCACAGCATATTACTAGACCGACTGGAAAACTGGGTGGGACTTTCGGAAACAGTTCTAAATTGGTTTGAATCCTACTTAAAGGACAGAAACAACTTTGTTTCTATAGGTAAATACACATCTGAGTTGACAAATATGACATGTGGGGTTCCTCAAGGCTCCATCTTGGGGCCTCTTCTCTTTAACATCTACATGCTACCACTGGCTCAGATAATGAAAAACAACTAAATAAGTTATCATAGCTATGCAGATGACACACAAATTTACGTAACAATTTCACCAGGAGACTATGCTCCAATTCAAACACTGAGTAAGTGCATTGAACAAATCAATGACTGGATGTGTCAGAACTTTCTCCAATTAAACAAAGATAAAACTGAGGTAATGGTTTTTGGAGCCAAGTCAGAACGTATAAAAGTTAGCGCTGAGCTTCAATCTGCAATGTTCAAAACAACAGATAAAGCCAGAAATCTAGGTGTAGTCATGGACTCTGACCTGAGTTTCAACAGTCACATTAAAACAGTTACTAAATCAGCCTACTATCACCTAAAGAATATATCTAGGATTAAAAGACTAATGTCACAGCAGGATTTGGAAAAACTTGTCCATGCTTTTATCTTCAGTAGACTCGACTACTGCAATGGTGTCTTCACAGGTCTCACTAAAAAATCTATTAGGAAGCTGCAGCTGATTCAGAACGCCGCTGCTCGAGTCCTCACTGACACTAAGAAAGTGGATCACATCACTCCTGTTCTGAAGTCTTTACACTGGCTTCCTGTGTGTCAAAGAATAGATTTCAAAATACTGCTGCTGGTTTATAAAGCACTGAATGGTTTAGGCCCAAAATACATTTCTGACCTCCTGCTAAATTATGAACCATCCAGATCTCTCAGGTCTTCAGGGACTGGTCAGCTTTCTGTGCCCAGAGTCAGAACTAAACATGGTAAAGCAGCGTTCAGTTATTATGCTCCAAATATCTGGAACAAACTCCCAGAAACCTGCAGGTCCGCTGCAACTCTGACTACTTTTTAATCCAGGCTGAAGACTTTTATTTTTGTCGCTGCTTTTAATTGAACTATTCATATCTTAGACTGCACTGTAACTTTTATCCATGTACTTTTTCTTTTAATGTTTAATTGAACTATTCATATCTTAGACTGCACTGTAACTTTTATCCATGTATTTTTTTCTTTTAATGTTTATTTTATTAGCTTTTCTTTTTAAAGGATTGCTCCACTCATTAGATAATTAATCAAAACTTCAGTATTTAGTGAAACATTATGTTTAAACCATACCCTGAAGAAATCAGCGATATTCCCCGGTAAATAATGATTTTATAGCTCTTTTTTATCAAAACCTGTATATTCCGTCAGGCCGCTGCCATTTTGCCCATTTTCAGTAGTCACGTGATGGTCGTGACGTCATCCATGCGTTCACTTTGTAAACACCATATACAGTCTATGGTAAACACACGACAACATGGCGAAGTTTTGAGCAATATGAAGAGATTGGAAGGGGGAATTCAGCCATACAGGTTCGAGCCTACTTAGTACTACTTAGTAGATACAATGATTTTGATTACTAGATATGTATGCATGTAGTACCACCCTTGCTAGCGATTTCCTCTCTAGTTTAGCATACTCAGACTCGTTGTCCCTGGCCCTAGAACCACGATTTTATGGGGCCGGAAAAACTGGGGGGAAATACCCACTAGCCGGTACTACGCTATATGGAAAGGCCACCAAAAACTGGCCTGGCCTGGACGATAAAGGACGTTTAAACGGGGCTACCCGCTGCAATGGAAATGCGCCATAACATACCTTATTCTTACTCCGAGCACTACTTCTGGTCCTCCGTCGCTTCACACTTGCAGAGGGCGATTTCTCAACTGGCCGAACTGGTGTCCTGGTCGGTGATGACACCAGAAAGACCGATGGTACTGCATCTCCATTAAGTAATGGTTGTTCAATAAATCCCATGTTATGTTTTATCATACTCTCAGAGTAGTCGTCCGGAAACTTGAAATGTTCGCTGCATACATGCGCCTGTGGAACTTTCGGTTCGGGCCGGCCACATTTCGCTAGCCACTGCCTCCGAACGTACTTCCTACGCTTACCTTTTGGCAACAGATGGAACCGAGCATTCCGTGGATTGTTCCTATCAGAATTGTGGCAATGTTTCGCGATACAATGAGGCATATTTGAAGAGAGTAACTACAGTAAATAACATGAACATCAACGTGTCCTCGAAACCAAACGCATGGTTTACGTCACGTCCGGTAAAATGGCGCCGCCCACAGTGTTGATGTTATTTCGGTAATTAATCAGTTTAAAATCACTGATAATGTCATCGGATTAAAAAAAAAAAAAGAGAGACTGGCAGAGACTGGTCTGTTTTATCGGATGATAATTTTTTTTAAATGAGTGTCATGAGCATACCATTCCTTTAATGACTGATTTTAAATGCCATTTTCTTAATGTCTTTCATTTTTTGTAAAGCATTTTGAATTGCCTTGTGTTGAAAAGTGCTATATAAATAAACTTGCCTTGCCTTAAATAGCGTGAATAAACTAGCTAGAGAGCTACAGTTAATTACATTCATCCAATGTCAGAAGGATTACCCTTTAACAAACATTGTAATTTCAATTTGAGTAAAACATTGGAGATATAACATTGTATTGTTTTCTTTTTACACTGACTCAGATATAATGAAAAGACTACGTCAGTCGAAGCTCAGCTTTGGTAAGAGAGAGACAGGACAGAGAGAGAGAAAGAGAGAGAGAGAGAGAGAGAGAGAGAGAGAGAGAAAGAGAGAAAGTGATGGAAGTCAGGGAGGAACTGCAGGTACAGTCACACAAAAGAATGTAGGCTTAATAACCCTATATATCCAGCTATCCATCTATAACAATAGTCTTCATTTACAATATAGACAATATGCATAATTGTAAAACAACATACATCTATTGCAGTTCTGATGTCATAACATACAATTTGCTTACATCTTTGTTCTCTTTTGAGAATCAAACAAAACTGATTTAAAGTAAAAAAAGAATGCAAACAAACAAGTGAAATGAACTAAATGGCTGAATTGCTTTTAATTCACTGGCAGGAGCGACAAGTGAGGAGGAGCAACAAGTGAACAAAGAGGGAGAGGTTGAACAAAGAGAAAGAGTAGAGGACAGAGAGAGTAATGAACAGGAAGAAGACAGAGAGACTCAAGAAGATGGAAGAGAGGCTGCAGGTTATGGAAAGCAGAGAGACATGGAAAGTGAATGTTGACAATGTGTTGTGATCATTTTAGCCTCTTCTGCATGTCCAGATCATTAATAGTAACAATCAACTGATTCTTATGTATTACACTTTCAAAAATAATTTATGCTGACATTGTTTGAAATCAATATATTATCCAATGTGTGACCCCCCTCAGGACTTAAAAAGCACCTAATTAGATCATGAAAATCCCCCAAATCTCGGGGGGTTTCCCCCGAACCCCCCTAGCATGTTTGGAACTCGGTATTTAGGAAATCCTGGATACGGCCCTGGCTCCAGCCTTCATTAGATTACCCATATCAAGACAGAAAGCCTTGAAAACCTGAAAGGAAGTTTATTCTGACACTTTTTTCCATTATTTTGGGTAAACTGATACTCATAGCAAACACATGTTCCTTATTATTTAACTTCACTTAAAGGAAATATCGATAAAAACCAAGAAATAGCTAAAGGGTCAAATAATAAGTAAGCAAGACTAAGAGAGTTAGGTATGCAATGCTCGGAGCATCATTCAGCTGCAAGTATTCTAAGCTGCCACTGGAACCACCAAAACCATCCAGCTCATACATCTTTGGTGAGAATTCAAAAAGTACCTGCAGCAGGACGGTTCCTCCAGGGAAGCTGAGCTGGACACAGTACTTTGGAGCATTGTCCCATGAAAGGAGCTGCAGGTCTTCTATGGAGCTGTAGGACAACGACGTCTCCATGTAACCAGTGGGCTGCAGAGGAGAGAAAAAGCAAACGGATATTAGTCTGCCACTGTCTAACATTGACATCACATGCTGAATATTAAAACAGAGCCGGAAGAGTACAAGGTGTTTGGAATGGCGGAGTGAGCTGGAAAGACAACAATAAATATATCACAGGCTAAACCTGTCATGGGTTAGCTAAATAAAACCTCCAAATACAGGAGAAAAGTCATCCCTGTTTAAGTGAATCATCATTGAATGAAACAGTGGGAAATCTATTTAGAAAACACACACACACACACACACACACACACCTTTTATTCATTTCCTTGTTTTCTTACAGCAAGAAAAAACGAATGCAACATTGATACGAGAGAGTAACAGCCACACAAAAAGAACATTTGAAATGTTGACATTAATGAAGGGTTTTAAGTCAACTGATTTCACATAACTGTATTATAGGGATGTTAAGATTCACCGATTCACATCAGTGCACCGGCATAAACGTTCAAGATGCGAGTGCACCGGTTGAGAGTGCACATCGGCTACAGTTTGGGTTGAACTTGCGATGCATCGATTGTAGCGTCTTTGCATCGGTAGAAAAAAACGAATCATTCATATAATATCCTCTCATCCTGTCAGCACTCAGCAGAGACGATCTTTGCTTCGCACTACGGAGGCTGAGAGTCTCAGTTATCAACAAACATGTAAACGATGCCGAGCCGCTTTAAAGTACACAAGTAGTGCGAGGAACTTAGTGATGCACATAAAGAGGCGACATGGGGTCTGCGGCTGAAACCTGAAAGTTAGACATATGAGTTAAATCACTCAGAGAGGTGTTCTGTCAGAGAGAGTGGTGTTTAGTTTACAGCAGACTGTGACGGCCAATAATAGTTGAAATGTGTTCCTTACTGTAAGCAGTTATGAAATACCTGTTTGTGAAAGGTTATTTGTATTCTTTATTGTTCATATAGAAACCACTGCTTTCTGCTCACTGCTGGTGGAAAAGCATTGTTCCTCATATCATGTATGAGGAACAATGCTTTTTAGAGCTCTTGAGAACAATTTTTATTTTATTTTCATTTTCTGCTGAACACGTTGAGCAAACATTTTGTAAACTGAAACACAGAGCCTAGAGCTCTCTTTCTACTCACAACTACTTTAGCTGCGTTTCCTGTCAAAAACACCATGAGCGCCTTCATGGAAAACATTGTCAAAAAGTGTGTGCATTGGGCCACAGAGTGTCTGCCTGTCTGTCTGTCTGTATGTCTGTCTGTCTGTCTGTGTCTGCCTGTCTGTCTGTCTGTCTGTATGTCTGTGTCTGCCTGTCTGTCTGCATCTGTCTGTCTGTGTCTGCCTGTCTGTCTGTCTGTCTGTCTGTCTGTCTCTGTCTGTCTGTGTCCGTCTGTGTCTGTCTGTCTGTCTGTCTGTCTGTCTGTCTGTGTCTGTCTGTGTCTGTCTGTCTGTCTGTCTGTGTCTGTCTGTGTCCGTCTGTGTCTGTCTGTGTCTGTCTGTCTGTGTCTGTCTGTCTGTCTGTCTGTCTGTGTCTGTCTGTGTCTGTCTGTCTGTCTGTATTTCTGTCTGTCTGTCTGTCCGTCTGTGTCTGTCTGTCTGTGTCTGTCTGTCTGTCTGTGTCTGCCTGTCTGTCTGTGTCTGTCTGTCTGCCTGCCTGTCTGTCTGTCTGCCTGCCTGTCTGTCTGTCTCTGTCTGTGTCTGCCTGTCTGTCTGTCTGTCTGCGTCTGGCTGTCTGTGTCTGTCTGCCTGTCTGTCTGCCTGTGTCTGTCAGTCTGTCTGTCTGTCTGCCTGTCTGCCTGTCTGCCTGCCTGTGTCTGTCTGTCTGTCTGCCTGCCTGTCTGCCTGTGTATGTCTGCCTGTGTATGTCTGTCTGTGTCTGCCTGTCTGTCTGTCTGTCTGCGTCTGGCTGTCTGTGTCTGTCTGCCTGTCTGTCTGCCTGTGTCTGTCAGTCTGTCTGTCTGCCTGTCTGCCTGCCTGTGTCTGTCTGTCTGTCTGCCTGCCTGTCTGCCTGTGTATGTCTGCCTGTGTATGTCTGCCTGTGTATGTCTGTCTGCCTGTCTGTGTCTGTCTGCCTGTGTCTGTGACTGTCTGTCTGTCTGTCTGTCTGCCTGTGTCTGTCTGTCTGTCTGTCTGCCTGTGTCTGTGTCTGTCTGTCTGTGTCTATCTGTGTCTGTCTATGTCTGTCTGTCTGCCTGTCTGTGTCTGTCTGCCTGCCTGTCTGTCTGCCTGTCTCTGTCTCTCTGCCTGTGTCTGTCTGTCTGTCTGCCTGCCTGTCTGCCTGTCTGTCTGCCTGTCTGTCTGCCTGCCTGTCTGTCTGCCGTCACTGTTGATGTTGTTTTTAAATAGGCAGAGCAGAATAGAGACAAACAGAAAGGACTTCAATTTTGTGATAATCAGCTGTGGTTACCATGGATACTACATCCTGCACCAGAGCATGCAGTGATTGGCTGCCTCCATATCCCTTCCTCCCTCTCACATCCTCCTTACTCTGTCTTTCGTTCCGTTTACTCCACTTGGTTCTTCTCCTGCCTTTCCTCATTCTGTTCTGCTTGCTTTTCATCGTAGAGGAGGTTTGGAGGAGGCTACAGCACATATTGTCTCTTCTGCTAACTGCTGAGTTACCATAGAAACAAGGGGATTATTGTTTCCAGGGAGAAGAAGATAGGGAACAAAACTAAAACCAAGAAAGAAAAGGTGGAAAGAAAGATAGAAGAATCCATGAATAATGCACTGTCATATCAAAATGCTCCAAACATGCAGTCAGGCTGCAGTCTTCACTCCCTTTTTCATACAATCTTGTTTGGTGTCTTTATTTTCATTCACATCATCCAATATTCACAGAAACACAAAACAAAAAATGAATCCAATTTCAATCTATTGCAAATATCATAAATCAATATGGCAGAGAGCGACATCATTCCTGACTATAACTAAACCCTTTGCCAAATGGCTGCATTGTTCAAACAAAACTGGGTGGATCCAGTATTTGAATATGAACATGTACTGCATTCTGTCCTCGAGGCCTGCCCAGAGCCTCTCAAAGCTGTGTGTGTGCGTGCGTGTGTGTGTGTGGTGTGTGTGTGTGTGTGTGTGTCTGTGTGCGTGCGTGCGTGCATGCGTGCGTGTGTGTGTGTGTGCTCATAGCTTGTAGTCACCGCATGTCGTGTCTCTTCCCTTTACTTTGTATTAAAACAATACGACCAACCAGCTCTGGCTGTTATGTTTTGCTGCTTCTGCTTGAGGGGCAATGCAACCTGCCTTTTTTCACTTGATCTGGATGTTTACATTATTTGCAATATCCTTTGTTTCTCACTAGCTAAACCACACTGCTCTGGTGGCCTACATGGCCCATTTTAGCATTTTTGTCCACAGATTGCAGTTTCCACAGAGTACTTTCATACTATTTTAAAGGACAATTCAACCTTTGGTTTCGGTTTAGTCCTGCAGTTCAGGAGGGTTTGCTTCTTTTGTAGAACCAGTAACTAATCACATTCTGAGTGTTGACTAAGTTAACAGATAACTGATATTAGGATTACAGCCATTGTTTGGGATAAAGGTTTATTAAAAGATAACAAGGTTGATGTTTCCACCCACAGTTGTAAAAACTGTATTTCCTTTTTTAAAGAAGTGAGAGGAGCTACTCGAGCTGAGCTGTAGTGGTACAAGTATAACACATATTCAACAGGCTGTCCTCAGTGAGCCTCAATACTGACAAAGGAATGAACACATGATCCTTCCACTTAAAAATAAAAAGTGTAATTATTTAGCAATAGAATGCTCAGTGTTTCAATTCAATACATGTAAGGGTTATGCTGCCACTAGCATACTTGGTCTGGTTTGACAAGAGGACACTTTTTGCCCTTTCCCATGTGAATAAAACAAACGGTGCTATTTGAAGTTGTTTCCTTAAGTTGTAAAAACGTACATAAAGAAACATGAGTAGAGGACTCTCAAGCCTCCCTGATTGATTTCTGAAAGGCTCCTGACTCTTGCCTCACAACAAGCCTCTCATGCTCGCAGCACATCCTTTCATCGCAGGCCTTTAGAGAGCAACGCGCCACACAGGAAGTGCTGGCTTGCTCGAGCGTCATTCTGACACACAAATGTGATGTAAGGTTTCTGACTTCAGACCTAGCAGGCATGGCTTTCAAAGGAAAGAAGGAGTCACAACTCTCAGAAGCAACACCCACACATATGTTGGTTCTTTCTTGAATGAGTGGAAATAAACAATAGAAATTAATACTGATAATGTAATTTGAAACCCTAACTTTTAAAAAGGAAAATAAAACATGAAGATGGCCTGATTAAAACAGGATTCTTGATGTTTTTAATGAAGCTCTCTTGGCAGCCATGCTCACATTTACAAAGCCCTTTTCTCACAACCATTCCAATTATTTGCTGTGCGTTGGATGTTGTTGGAGATGCAGTTTCAGCGCTCTTTGCCTCCTTGTTGGAAAAAGTCACTCCATAAGAGAGCACAGCAAATTGGTCAGCATTGTTCTTCTGCCCACATAACAACTCTGTTTAAACAGAGCACAACAACCCCACTCAGGAAATGCACATTCATGCTTCACCCTGAATGCTTCTCTTCCGTACAGTTAAGTCTTTATGAAACAAAGAATATGTGACATCGTGTCCAATCCAAACTCTCAAATACATTAACGCTGTGCACGGGTGTCACCATCCGCACACACAAGTCAAAGGAATCTCTGGATAAATCACCCACATGAACAACATAATGTCTACCACTGGGGTCTATACCGTTCCAGTTTCCTACAATAATAAATACAAAGAACACTATGGTTCACTTAGGGACAGCCAGGGGCGTCGCCTGGGGTGGGCATCCGGGGGTTTAGCCGGGCAAATTCTCCCTCAATAATATAATACATTAACCGTACTTTACCTAGAGGACGGCAGAATTGTAATTTGTAATAAAGAGGCAAGACACCACCAGACCAATCAGAGAGTTGCATGGAAATAAACGTGTTTTATTGGCTGACAGGCACGTACCTCTCCTCTGTGTCAATGTTTAAACTTTAAACTGTCGGGACTCTGAGATTCTAAAGATGGACATAAGAAAAACAATTCTTGTAAAATACGACAATTCTCAAGTGGTGGCTCACACAACAACCCCAGAGTCACCACTTGAGCCAGGCAAACAAGGTATGTAAATGTCAGTAAACTTTTAAGTTATGCGAACATGTAAGCAAAGCATAAATTACAGTTATGTTGACGTTACTTTGAATCGCGGGGGTAAGCTAAACCGTTAGCAAGTAGCTATAGCTAGCCAGATATATTAAATAAACACTTTGCCATACAATCAAAATGTTGTGTTTTTTAGCGTTACCTGGTGATTTCAAAGAAAGCTCTCTGGGAAATGTTGACTTACTGTTCGACATGAAACTAGAAGCTACCTTACAGTACACAGTTGATCCGGAGTCCTGTCGGTTAAAGTGATTCATAGTTAGCTTAGCTAAGCATCAACCTAGCACTGAAAGATGTTATGTGACAGTATTTCTGAGAAAAAGTCAGCTGAAATGGTGGCATAGTTGCCACTGCTTTACGTGTCGACAGCATGTTTGAACGTATTTGCAGCAGTAAATGTGGCTGTTTGGCCACTGACGTTGCCATAACAACACCTGAATTTAAATGTGCAACCTCTTTTTGTGAGAGATTTTTGCATGAAATTATAATTCTTCTGATTGATATTCCCTATTGAAAGCTAGTTCCTATGTGAACATTATGAGATGGACAGCCAGCTAACAAGCTTTTCATATACAAAGATTTCAGATCAAAGCTAATCCAGTGTGGCTCCTGAAAGGGGGCAAGGGACACTATGCTCCCAAATATTAAGCCTTGACTCCCATCTTAAAATTGATATGATAAAACAATTATCTGCATTGTCGGAGGCCTTTTTTCCTCATTATCATGTCAAATCATGTCAACTCGTGACAGGGGAAGCAAATACAGACAAAACACAACGTAGCTTTAGGTAGCAAATCACGGAGATATGCTCACCTTTAGCTGTTATTCTGATCAAAGGTTGTGTTCAATGGCATTAAAACGAGAAAAAACGCAGCTGAAGGTTAATCCATAGGTTAATCCAATGTGTCTGTCACTTTGAAAAAATTATTGATAATCCATAATTCAATTTTTATGCAAATATCGGAGAATAAATATTAGCTGCTAATGGTAGCCACCAGACTGCAGCGCAGCTTCCGGTTTTTGCTACGCGTCACTCTCACTCCTTATTTGGTAACTTATGTGTGTATGTGGAACTTTCCCTCGATTCCATTGGCTCTAGCGGTTAAAAAGAGATCATCAAAATCAACCAAGGGGGGCCAGAGATAGGTCAAATCCACCCAAATGACCCCAGAAGTGGGTTTTTTTGTGCTAAATCTCTCTAAAAAGGTTAAATTTCACTTGTTTTGAATCAATCTTGATACAGTGTACTTATTATATGTTATAGTTTTGATTCCTAAAGCTTTTAGTCTACCATCCCATCATTCAAGGGTGGTTTTCACTATAAGTAATGTGTTTTTTTTTTTGGACGGACACAATAATTTACACTTTTTTTACTACGTTCAATCTGAATTTACTTTAAAATAAAAACAATCTATATTGACTCTTCTACATCCAACTCACAGGTTTATCATTGCTTTGAGAAAAAAGATTATTAATTTTCCCCTTTTAGAAGTGAAGTTATGGTAATTTGTTCTGGGAATGTCATTTTCGAGCCTGAGACCTGGAAAACAGGCTCAGGGCTCAACTGGTTAAAAAGGACTATATACAGGGGTGCACATAACTTTTTTGCCCTGGTTCTCAAAGGAGCACCTGGAGATGTTGCTTGGTGCTCATCCTTAAAATGAAATAAACCGTAACTTTTGAGGGGGTCTTGACTTTATTTGCCAGACACACGGCACTGAACACACATGCAGAGGTGAACACAGAACACACATGCAGAGGTGAACACAGAACACACATGCAGAGGTGAACACAAGACAACATTAGCACGACCAGTAATCCTACAAGCTGTCATCACTACCCTCCTGACTGTTCTCCTCACTGTCTTCCTCTCTGTCAGACATGGTAGCTGATGATGTAGGCCTACTTCTTTCTCTCTGGTTGAGTCTGCGATTAGCTGCTTGCATCCACAAGTCAACAGCTGGTTTTGGGTCGAAAGTCTCTGTTGTCATCTTAGACAAGTGGATGTAATCAAATAAGTATGTGAACATAACCAATAACAAATGAATGTAACTTATTTTATTTGTGTTGTTCATTCATATCTTATTTTACCTTAACATTTATTTATGCATTTTTTTTTATCTCTCCAGTTTTAAAGGATATTTTTGGTTGCTGTCCTATAGTATACATTGGAATGATTTAAAACCTGTTTATCCCAATAATTATAAAGGAGTGCCTTGGAAATATGTGTTTACATAAATTGTGACCAAACCGTTTGAACTTAGACTAAAGTGAACTATCTAAACACTCAAAAGTCCTTACCTCACTGAGCTGTAGTATCAGCCTCTCAGTCTGACTGGAGAGGACTCTCCCTCCACATTATTGTAGAAACATCTTCTTCTTATATCCGTTAGAGCAGCTAGCACCAGATTCTAATAACAACAGCGCTGGTACCGGTGCACCCTCCCTCTCTCCCTCTCTCACTAGCATTTTGGCTGTGAGCTGCGGGCGCCAGATAAGCCAACATCCCCCATTTTCATCACTTACAGCGCCCATCGTACAGGGCAAATGAAACGTGTAACCGGGGTGAAAAGGGTGTTACATTTACTTAATTATGAATATTGTTACATCAAGGCCGAAAATTAGGATGAGCCCCCACATCTACATCTGCAGCTCCTCTCTTCTTGTTGAGATGTATTACAGCTCAATGTGTAGCTGTCTACAACTTTAGTGCTCTGAAAAGTCACTTTATACTCAATGTTAAGGCCTGAACAACAAACGGCACAGTGAGAAGATAGCAGCTGCAGTAATGGAGTGTTTAGCAGCTAAAGAGTCAGGTATAATATTTATTTCAAGAATTGGTAGAGATCACAATCAGAGCTAAAATAAAAAAAATTAAATAACTCTGCTATCCTAGGCTCTAAGGTCAGATGGTAACATTGAAGCGTTCAATCAATTATACAAAAATATTTACATGCAGTAGACTATAGTTACTATAGTTTCCATAGTTATTATATAGATACTATAGTACTATAAAACTATAGTATCCGATTCAGTGATCAAATGGATCAGCATCATTTATGGCAGTGTGCTCTGATGGGGATGCAGAGAGCCAGCAGTGACACTGAGCTCGGTGTGTGTGTTATCAACAGGAACTGTTACAGCCACTGTATGCTAACGTGAGGCACCAGAGACAATGAGCTACTGCTTCTACTACAATACATCTGTCCAGTCTACAGAAAAAAACATCCACACGTCTTTTCTGCCATAATTAAGGTCTCCAAGACATTGCCCACTGCAGTAAGCTTGAGCTCACTCTGGGTGTGATTAGCAGACTTCCAAAGCTTCCATCGTCAGTATGTTGATAAAACAAGGGGTCTGGCTTTGAGGAAAATGTCAGAGGCGTTGATAATAACAGAAGGGGAAATAAAGGCTTTTATGATTTTGGCATTATTCAACGGAATTACTCAAAATTACAGTTGGTTACAGAGATATGACTCTTTGTGATTAATAATACACTTTGTGTATTCTTCCTCTTGGCTGGTGCGTGCATATAGTTATTGTGTTAAAGTTATAGGATGGAAAATAAAGATCATATGAAAGACACAATATCACATTTGTAGGCACTAAGGGTCTATAAATCAAAACATTGTTGTCTTGACAACAATTTCATCATCGTAGTTAGCTTCTCTAGGTTAGGATTCCTTGAGTGTTCATCGTTCCGGAGCCAGATAATCCACAGGAAAAACAAACCGGTGACTGAAAGCGATAAAAACTGTGAACAAAGCAGGGCTGTAATATCAGAGCTGCTCCTGCTAACAATAGCGTGGCCTGTTTCTCTACTTCAGACTGATTTAAATCCTTCATCTCCTTAAAATAAATATTTTAAAATAAAGAAACATCTAAAAAGCGTCAAGAGAACTGTTGTCTGAAACTTGATACAAATCAATGTATGACAGCTCCTGGCAGACATCATTGATCAATGGTACCATTATAGGAGACTTGTGAAGATAACTGCATTGACCAAACTTTCCCTGGGTTTGCAATTTGTTGGAAATATGTTATAATGTAAAAACTCAACTCGACCAAAAATAACATAGATATAGTCGGAAAAGTAAAAAATGTACATCCTATGTTTAAGAGAAATAATGATACATTTTTGTGATGTTTTGGTTCTGCTGAAGTTTGGATTGCCAAAAAAGTATATCCTCTATTGTAATTATTACTCAACCACTGGTTAACATATCTATCTTTTGTTATCATTGAAACTTTATCAGAGCATCCCCCTCCCTCCGACAGCCAGGAAGCAGCACATGACCACAGGTGGTTCTGGAGCAGGAGCTTTAACTGGGTTCATATCACAGAACAGGACTATAAAGACCCAGGGTCTATAAACTGGATTTTGTTTGTTTTATTACTCAATGGCCTATACAAAAACACCCACACATACACGCTAACACTTCAGGAACCTCCATACACGTGTCGACTGGTCACAGGCAAGAGAACATGTGTTGTGCAGGGATGGGGGGGGGTCAGGCCACAGCGGCGCACCGCTGCCTTCCGCTAAATTGCGTCAACAACAGTGTGCGTAATCTCGGTGCCAGGCTGCGTCCAGACAAGAAAAGACAAACACCGAAATTGCCTTTGGAATGTGTAACACAGCATAATATAGTCTCACACACACACACACACACACACACACACAGTTGGCGAAGAGCAACTCACGGTGGCGGATGACAGGCTGCTGTCTGTGAGCGCGAGGTGGTGCGGCTCCCATCTCCGCAGGAACTTGGAGGTGAGGATCTTGCTGAGGAAGGTGCGGGGGTGTTTGACCACGCACACCTGGATGTCCCCCTCGTGCAGCAGCTTGTAGCGCATGCAGCTGCTGCTGCAGTGGAGCAGGGTCCTCTTGCCCAGCCCCGCGCTCGGCTTGCTGTTGTTGTTCCCCTCCGACATCTCCCCCAGCAGAGGCTTGTTCTCCTCGCACTGATAGAACTGGTTGTTGTGCAGATCGTTAGCACCCCCCCCCTCCGCCGCTGTTGAAATCCATAGTTTAATAATCCAACAGTTTATTGTTTCCAAATGTTCCTCTCAGGGGGGAGGGGTGAACTCGTCGAAACGATACAAGAATCCTTCCGTGTATATATCAAATAGAAATGGATAAGGTCGCTGGGATCGAGCTGGAGGGGGGTACCTACCTACCGACCTGGGGTCTGTATACGCGGCAGACAGGCGCAGAATGCCGCAGACAGCGTCCTATGTCCGGATCTCCAGCCGGGGGAAGGTTTTTATGATACAGTGTAAATAATCCACCATTTTCCTCCCGCACAATGCCCCATAAATTGTCTCCACTGTGCGCGTCTCGCCTCCACCCCCCACCACCGACGAGCTATTCAATAGGCTATGTTAGGGCCATGGCCTTATCCATTCCGTTCGACCCAGTGCCAAACACAATAATCCACCGCGAGGAACACATGGGAATGAAGAGAAAAGTGAGGAAATATCCAATGGCGGCGGCTCAGGGCTCATCCGGGGGGTTTGTGGTCATTACAGGCTCACTGGCACGATTTCCTTTTATTCAGTCTTTCCCCTATCTTGGTGTAAAGGAGCCAGCACTCTCCAGTTGCGCCGCGCCGATTGGTCCCTGCTCGTTCATGTGATACCGGACTGACGTCAATGGGGAGGCGAGCGGATGAGCCGTGTGTCTTTTGCCTTGACTGTCTGCGGAGGGCGCACGCTCCCCCACCCCTCACCCCTCCTTCTCCACCTCACCAACTCCTCCTCCCCCTGCGCACGAAAACATGGAGGAGGGCGCTGGGCCTGGTTTCTTCCTGTCCCTGGAAATGATGCAGCTTGCATCCACATCATTTCCAGGGGAGCCGTTCAGAGCGGAAGAAGGCGCTGACGCATTGATCTGTGTCCGTTTCTAAAGAAAACATTAAAGAGTATTAGGCTTTTTATTATTCATAAATATAGAACTTTATGAGTTGTCATCAATAGGCTTCCCGCATCCGATGAGGTAAGATATTGAAACAATTATTTTCTGAAAAAAATTAACAATACATAATGTTTAAAGGTCCCATGACTTGGCCATTTCTACTGATCATAATTCCATTGTTGAGGTCTACTAGAATACATTTACATTGTTCAATGTTCCAAAATGACATTGGTTTCTCATACAGCCTCTGTATAGTATTCACTCTCTGTCCTAAACGGCTTGTTGGAGCTCCTGAATACTACCCGTTACAATTCTCAGTAACACAGTTACAACACATTTTAACCCGGAATTAAATGGTGTTTTGTTTTTTAAGAATTCACTAACATTGCGAGACATTCCGACACCAGAGAAAAATTGTGCGGGTAGATTAGTAAGCCTGGTGTTTACCCTTCAGGGTGTTCTTTTCCCCATAATGACCGCCTCGCTGCACATTATCCCGCTTATTACACGGCCATATACTAAACAAAATACAGAGCCCATTCCGTGTTCCTGTTATTGTTTACTTCCTGTCTGCCTTCTTCTGGTGATTTATCTGACGTCCAGCGCTCCGTCTTTTAACCTCTTTTCCTTTCTCTTTCTTGATCCTCTTTAGCAACCTTCATTATAGTCCTTGACCGTGTACTACTGTATTAACAACGTTTCACATGTTAAGAATGTACATTCAGAATCGAGTATTCAACTAGCCGTGTAATACAAGTTGTTAGTAGCCTTAATCAGTGGCGCCAGCAGGGGGGGGGGGGCAGGGGGGGCCATGGCCATATATTTGTTGGCCCCCCCACTGGCCCCCCCACCACACACACCGCCTCGCCAGTCACGTATGCGTAGTAGTTTATCTGATATTTAACAACAAATACACAGCCAGCGAGTCGCTTGATTTGAGCTTCCAACGCTCATACTGCAGCCCCTCCCTCTCCCTCTGCTACCATGGTAACACTCTGATACTCGGCGCACCACTCTGATACTCGCGTGCACCACTCTGATACTCGCGCGCATCACTCTGAGATTCGCACAGACAGCAGCAGGTTGCAGCAAAACGTTTCTTTCTACTGACTTTTCTACTGACTTGACAAAAATCCACCAGACTTCTAGAAGGTAAGTCATATACGTTCGTTGCCTGTTAAGCTCCACAACACTTAGGCTTTAGTGTGTTAGCTTTAGGTAGCAAAAAACGGAGATATGCTTACCTTTAGCTGTTATTCTGATCAAAATGTGTGTTCAATGGCATTAAAACGAGACAAACGCTGGAAGACCTGGAAAACAGGCTCGGGGCTCAGTAAAGGCTGGCTTGACTTCAGGTAGCATCAGCTAAATGCAATGTAATGTAATAAAGGTATAATTTGTCTGTAAACACACTTTGGCGACTATCCTAGTTAGCATTAGTTTAGCTTGCTAAGCTAACATTAGCTGATGTCGGTATGCTGAGCTGGTGTAATGCATAGGCTACTATTAATCACTGATGTGTGTAATGTCAATTTGCAGAAAATGAAGAGAAAGTCAACAGACATCTCTTCTTATTTGAAGAAGAAGATGAGTAAAGGAGAGACAGAGCTGGCAGGGGAGCAGCAGCATGGGGCTAGTGAGGAGATGGCCATACATGCTAGAAAGTACATGTGGAACTCTGTGTTGTAAAAGTGAAACTAAAACCTAAATACAGTTTTATTAATGTGATTGTGACCTTTTTAATCATTTAAGTCTTCTACACACTTTAGGTCTGCAGCTCCTTCAAAATGAAACGAGAATCTATGCAGTTTTTCCTCTTCTGTGTTCTGAGTTTATGACCCACCCAACCATTAGTCAAGTTTGTTTTCATAATGTTCTGTATGCTAATTTAACAAAAGGGTAACCAGTTTGTTTATAAAGTATAAATAAAAAAAATTCAAAACAAATGGAATACAAGCTATATGTATTACTCTCACCACAGTGGCCTAATCTAAAAAATAGAAATATGTCTCGTCACCTATTTTCTGTCTAATACTAAAAGATGGTGTTTTGTATCATTTATAATGTTTTGAATTTGCTATAAAGGTCAATAATAGATGGTGTTTTTGTGTTCAATCATAGTATGTATTTACCATTTTATACCCCTTGTGTTTTTGGGTTCTGTTGAAATAAAAAGTCATGTTTTAAAACTTGATTTAATAAAGTCATGTCAATCATCTTTGATCCCAGTGTGACACAAACAGCTTTGTTCAGTATAAAACTATTTATAACCTAGAGACATAATATAACTGAAGAACATGTTGTGTTGCTTTGTGTATTGTATGTGTTGAGAATGCTGAACATTTTGTGCCTTACAATAAAGGAACTTATTTAAATTAAGCTGTATTTGTCTTTTTAAAAGGAAAGAACAACTAGCATACAAAAAACAATAAATCACCAACACATGTATACATAACACACAACAAGGTTCTTTTAAATGTTGTTTGAAGTTAAATGTTAACACACCGTATTATATTCACTTCAGATGAATAGTATCAGAAAATGTAAAATAAGAAACCAAAGTATATCAGTAGGTGATTCTCTTTGCCATTGTTTTCATCTAGTCTATACTTTTACAACAATTACATTCTTGGTTTTGGTGGGCCACCCCAAGATTTTCAGTGGTCCCATTTGGCCACCCCTATTAAAAATGTCTGGAGGCGCCACTGGCCTTAATAGCCTACACAGTTGTTATGCTATACCACATTGCCCTTCACTGGATGTATAATGAGCTGCACTAAACTACATTTTAGCATTTAAAATACCTAGCCATTCTTTTGCGGTTATTTTGGTAAAGTAACTAAAAAAGTAGTGTAACTCATTACATTTCAGAGACAGTAATATTGTAATGTAACGTATTACTTTAAAAAGACAGTAATAAGTCATATGTACTGTATTACATTTTGGAAGTAACTTGCCCAACACTGGACGTCAAGGACTGATACGGAAATTGTAGTACCGCCGTTTGGACACAACAATTTTTTTCCTCAGAGTCCGGAGCACTTCCTTCTTGAGAGTGGTGCAGGGATGACGACGTATTTACCCGGAAGTAAGCTGCGCATTGGGTTCCCTAGCCAAAAAAACTATGGGATTTCTCCATAGGATTTTTGAAAATAGCTCGAAATAAGGTCTGTGGAAAACAAACCTGTTTGATAAATGCACGTTTGTTCAGCCGGATAATATCCACATGTCTACCCTACTTTTATAATTTTCGAATCATAAATCTAATCGCCAGAAGCAAAATGCTAACATTATGCTATAAACGAACTACAGCCGAGTACAGCAGGGTCGCACGACTTTAACGCCACGCCAACTTAAGATCGATATTCAAAAATACTGACTCAAAATTGTACAAGTTGAAGCATTTGTTTTAACAGTTTGCAAGAGTGCAGGTACTTGCGTTCAAGCAGAACAGGGGCAAACAAACTTAGCGGGAGTGTTTACGTGTTCGGCGTAATGACGTACAACGTCCTCGACAACTTCTGTAGTCCTATTCAGCCACTTGTTAACAACCATCGTTTTTCAGACACGTAAACTCTTCTAAAATCACCAGTGGGGTCACTGCTGATCAGTGGCGAGTGATCAAATCACTTAAACACAAAGTCCATCCTCCTGTCCTTTTGGATGAAGCACTTGATGGCGGGGTCATGCAGCTGATCCTTTGCCACTCCAATTTATCATTGTAACTCAATCTTGAAAATGACTCAGTTAATAATTTCGCAACGATGTCAGACTCAACACTATCACTGACATGAGCCATCATGAACGAACTTATGCTATTCATAAATCTATCTATTGTAGAGCCGATGAATGGGAGTCGGAGGCGGTGTGTTCAGTATGGAACTCCACACTTTATTATCAAAGAACATTCAGACAGGTTAAGACATTAGCTTATATCTTGTTGTGAAGCTAGCATGAATGAACCTAGCTTCCGGTGCCCTCTCTAACAGGTCCGTGTTGCAACACAATAACCAGAGGTGAATTATGTCCCATCACGTGGCACCACACAAGCCCCCCCAGAATTCACATGTAAAGAAAGTCTGTGCGCCGACGAGGAACGACGCGCCGACCCCCACGACTCCTGAGCACTGGAGCCAGAGAAGCGACATCCGCCTGCACGGCCCCCGGAAGAGGAGGGACCGGAACAACAGGTCCTAAATCCGTGACAGGGGTCACAGCCGGGGGTAGTCCCCGTCGCGGAGGTCGAGCCAGCACCACCGGCTGGTCTAAGTCCAGGTGAGCAGCCTTCACCCGGTCCACCGAGACGTGCTCGACCTTGCCACCCAGGTCGACCACCAGGTGCTTGTCCCCGTGCTCCAAGACCCGGAAAGGCCCATCGTAAGGGGGCTGCAGGGGGCCTCTGTGCGCATCGTGCCGGATGAACACGTGCCCCGCCGAGCAGAGCTCTGCGGGAACCCGGGACACCTGACTACCGTGCTGTGTAGTAGGGATCGGAGCAAAGGCCTCAGCGGCGTCCTGCAGGAAAGCCCGCTGGGCCGACGCCGACCAGGGAGCCGATGCGTTAGGGAGGAAATCCCCAGGAACCCTCAGCGGCTGACCGTATACCATCTCAGCCGTAGAGCACTGCAGGTCTTCTTTAGGCGCAGTCCTCAGGCCCAGCATCACCCAGGGCAGCTTGTCGACCCAATTCCCGTCCGTAAGGCCGGCCTTGAGGGCCGCCTTCATGGAGCGATGGAACCGCTCACAGAGGCCGTTAGCCTGAGGGTGATAAGCGGTAGTCCTGTGCAGCTTAACCCCCA